TACAGACAATACAGAGTTACAAACAAAGTGGTAGGGAATTAACAATGATGGTTGTATTACATATTGATATCTTCAAAGTGGCTTCTCATGAAAACAGATATAGACATGCAATACTGGTTGATCCAATCGATGTTACCAATTTATCAAATGATTGAAATTGCTAGATTGAGAAAATGAGCCAAATGGACAATTTGATAAGTAAGTATTTCTGGAGCACTGGCTATATGCAGAGCCAAATTTCCAACTGAGATCTGCTGTCTTTTATTTATTTATTTATTTATTGTTTTTGGTTTTTCTCCGGTACCAGGAACCGAACTCACGACCTTGTGCTTGCCAGGCAGGCGCTTTGCCACTGAGCTAAATCCCCAGCCCCTCTGCTGTCTTTTAAATCAAAGCAAAGATGTAGGAGCTCGGGATAGGGATCTAGACAGTGACACTCTGTCAGTGACACTAGCACGACAAGAGTGAGCTGTCTTTTTTTTTTTTTTTTTTGTCTATTTGAAACAGGGTCTCACTATGCAGTTCAGGCCGGCCTTGAGCTCACTTTGTAGCCCAGGCTGGTCTCAAGCTCGCAATGATCCTCCTGCCTCAGCCTGAAAAGAACAAGCTCTGCCCAATTTGTTACTCCTGAATATACTCTAACTGGGCAAGGGCTTGACTTCCCAGGATTTAGAGAAGTCAGTTTTGTGTGACTGGCATTCACTAATGTATTCTGATGCATTAGTAGTGCCAAATTAAACAAAAAGATACACTCTGTCCTGCTTGGAAACACTCTCAATGCCTGCAAGACCCACTTGTATCTATTTGTATAAGTCAAATTAAAAACACTGATGGACTTAATCTTCACCCCCATATCAAGAACTGTTAGGGACTCCAGAGATTATAAAGATACACGAGTAATTGTAGTAGCAATAACTAAGCAGTAAGAATGTTAAAAATGGTAGATAATGTTTAATAAATGTTTTTTCTCCAGGCACTGTGTTAAGAACTTTATTTTCAGTAGCAACTTCATTTTGCAGAAGAGATCAAATCTCGCAGTGATGAAAGAATCTGTCTCCATTGTGTACACCCCCTGTGATGGAGATGGGAAGTTAATTGTTCCTTAAAACTTTAGCAGAACTTGCCAGGGAAGTGATCTAAATGTCATTTTGTTTTGTTTTCCAAGGAGAAAATTTTGGACTCTCATTTCTATTTATGATTTCCCATTTTAGTTGCATAGATGGAGTTTTCTTCTGGGTTTGAAAGCTGTATGTTTTGTTTAGTTTGGTTTTTAAATGTCCCCAAAGACCCATGTGTTGGACCCCAGGGATGCACTTTTGGAAGGTGATGGAATCTTTAAGAAAGGAGGCCTGGTGGGCAGTTGTAGCTCACTGGGGGCATATCTTTGAAGGCGATAGTGGGACCCCACTTCCCTCCTCTCTCTCTTTTGCTCCCTGTTTATGAGGTGACTGTACACTCTCATTGCAATGTGCTTCCTCATCACAGGCCCAAAAGTGACAGAAACAACCATGAACTAAAACCTCCGAGAATGTGAGCCAAACCAAAACTTTTTTTTTTTGGTAAAGAAAAGGTTATAAAAAAAAGTAAAACAAAATTTCATGACAAAATAATAAGACAATAACAAGAATTAATACATTGCATATTGTTATCTTTTAAAAAATATGACTATATAATTTATTTGTACTTTAAAATTTAAACAACTTGCTGGGAACATACTTAGTGAGACAATTTAGTCTTTTTTAATTTAAAATTAAACTTTGAGTCAGGCTCACTATTTTTTTCAAGTGCAAGCAACAAATGTTAGCCCAAAACAACCAACTTAATGATTATTTGTAACAGATTTGATTATGTGATCATCCAGAGCCTCCCCACCTCTGGCTTCCCTGTGGAGGAGGGAGTCTTTGTGTGCTTTTTTGTGTTGGTTCCACTGAATTCCTTACAGTAGAGATGAACATTTGATATTCATAGCGATCTAACATCTGAGCAATCTTCTTTTGAGACACACTGTGTTTATTTCTCCATTTCCACATATAGTTTCATTTCCCAAGCTCGTGTATTAGTGGTGTCTCTAATAACTGGAGCTCACTGATTAACATGATACCTGTACTCATCTTGATGGTGAAAATAGTCATCAATGCTGAATACAATGCCGTTGTGACTCTGACCAAGCAGAATTCTAGACAATGTTGTTTTCCCAGAATCAGGCAGACCTCCTAAAAGAATAAGTAAGTTCTGTAATTTATTTAACTTTTCTTCTTGAGACTGCTGGTTCATAAACCTGTCCATCCCATTATGCTTGTCCATAGGAGGCTGTTTCCAGCTTCCTTCCCTGACATCACGTAAACCATTACTCACATATCCATCTTGCACACTAGAGCCATTTCTAGGGGGATAAACACTATGGCTATTCTCACTATAGTCAGTATATTTGTTGCTCTGATCAAAAGTCAAACAATTCCAGTTAACACGATGACTACTTAATCACACCTATTTTGCATCTGATAGTCACCTGGAGCATGGAAAATATTTGGTGATGGATTTGGTGGAGCACTGAATCTTTGAATATTTAAATAATAATTAAAACTGGGAAGAGGGGCACTATAGGGTACTATGAAGGGATGAAGTGATTCCAATTTGGGCCTGAAAGAAGTAAATGAAGTACCACAAAATGTACCTATTGCTTGTCCATCATAGGTATATTTGCTCGGCTCATTGCTCAAGTGTTATGGTTGATACATGGTGTCAACTCAAGGAGTCTGGCTTGGCTAAGTGACTCAGCAGTTCTACATCCCGGGGTGAAAAGGACACGCCCTTCCTGCGCTAGGATGTTATTCATTGTGTCAACGTGTGAAGTTTAGAAGGTTAACTGTGTGACTCAGCAGGGGGCCAGGGTGCTTACTTTGTACTCATCCTGAAACTGTGCAAGAGGAAGACACAGAGATGGTGTGAGAGCTACATGGCCCCTGGGTGGGGGTAGCCTGTTTACAATGCAAAGGAGGAAAAGAGGCTTGTCCCACCCCTGTTTGTCCTTGTTGCTTTTGCTGTCTTCTGCCATGTGCCACTCTGCCTTGAAGCCAGCAGAGTATGGAACGAAACCTCCACAAACTGTGAGCTAAATAAACCTTTCCTTCCTTCACTTTGGGCATCAGGTATTTTGTCTCAGCAATGAGAGAAAAGTAATGAAGACACCAAGTACTGCTGATAACCACAATGTGACTGGGAGCACCATTAATATCTTTACTTGCATCATCAGATTTTAAGACATCATTATTATTGTCCTCATAATATGGAATAAGTTGTTCCTGAGAAGGTTCAGATTCCTTACAACTGACTTCTAAATTGTCATTTTCACTTTCAAGTTCTTCAATTTCCTTGTAAAACTGTGGTAATCCCATGTCAATCCCTAATTTTTTGTTGTTAAATTTCTGTTTCTTCTCTTGTCTTCCTTTGCCATTTGGACCATTATGAGTGTCTGTTTCATTCTGCCTTTCATTACATCTTTTTTCCTCAGGGGGTTTGTAAATAGGTCCTATAAATGCTTTACTTGTACTATATATTTCATCATCTGTTGGTACTAATGGGGGTTTTCCATCTTGTAAAATTTGTGAACCAATGGATTCAATAACATCTAGTCTGTTACAAAGCATCTCATTATGCAAAGGTTACTGCAAACCTGTAGTTTGGGTTTTGTCCTGAAGAAAATCAGCACTGCTATGATGTGGAAAACATAAGCTTTTGCAGCTGACTTCAATTTTTTTGTAGTGTGGTTCTTTTGTTAGTTCTTTTCCAGGTCCCAAGGACTTAGCTTCAATTTCACCATAAGGCATCTTCTACAACCTCTGTATGGACATCTACCTTGCCAATTTTTTTTTTCTCCAAGACAAGACCCTCCACGGAAGTGAAAGTAACACTCAAACACCAACACAAAGCAGAGAGTTGGAGAGACCAAACTCCCAGCCATCAGACTCCAAGGCTTATTGTCTTTAAAGTAGTTACTCAGCAAACAAGATATGGGAATAAAAAATTCTCCTATCAATATTAGCACAAACCTTCCTTTTCAATGAACTAAGAGACACTCAGTATAACTGACTTGCATTTTTTCCCCTTTGCCTTCCTTCTTTTCCCCTTTTACCATCCTAGATCCTTTTTTCTTGTAAGCAATTTATTCCCATTTCACAATATCTGTTGTACATTTTAGGCCTTATTTACTCTTTCAGCTTCTCACACCAGGGAAACAATATGGCTTTTACACATGTGAATCTCATTTATTTCACTTGTGAGTATAAACTCTTTCTTTTTATAAGTTGGTTATCTCAGATACTTGCTGTGGTGACAGAAGGCTGACTAACCCAACATTTTATTTCTATAGCTACAGTGATTCTTTCTTCTTTAGCTCATTGTCTTATTTATTTTCTTCTATTGAATTCTTATACTTTTCCATGTCCTTATTTCTCCTAAACCAGGTAAGTAATATAGTGTGCTTCATGTCACTTTGTTCTCATCTCCCACCACTATCCCACATCTTATGCTGAGATTTTCTAGAATAATTATGGGACACTAGTGGGATACATTTTGCTTTGCTTTGGTTCTAGACTCTCAAGAACTAGTCTCACACTGTTTAAATATTTTATGCTCTTTCTGATATCCCTTCATTTGCTTGGTCCATCAGTTACAAAGAGAAGTGTAATATTTCCCAATATGATTTTTAATATTCTCTCCCTACATATTTTTCACCTTTTGCATTACAGGTTTTGAATCTATGATAACAGGTGACCAAATTTTATATAATTTTGTTTTTGTGGCAAATCAAGCCCATCCCAGTGTAAAATGTGCCTTTTCTTCTTAGTAAAGTTTCTGAAACTCTATTCTATGTGATGTTAGTATAGCTATACCAGGTATCTTAGTTTGGGTTACTGTCACAAGCACCATAATTCTAGCTAGTCTGGGTGGATTTTAAATGACAGAAATTCAGTTCTTATAGTTTTGCTGGCTGAAAGTCTGAGTTTGGGGTGCTGGTATGTTTGGGTTTCTTCTGAGGGTCTTTTTATGGATTGTGTCTTCTTATTATTACCTTTTCTGTAGAAAGAGTGCTTGAGAACTCTATGAGGGGTCTTCCACAGGGCACTAATCCTATCCATGAGTGTCTACCTTCCAAAGGATCCATCTTCTAATACCATCATATTGAAGGTTAAAATTTCAGCATTTGAGTGGGGGCACATAAATGTTGACTCCATACATTATGTTTTGTTTAATTAGTGTTCACCATGTTTTAGATTTTTTCATCATTTGACTTTTAATACTTTTGTATTTTTGAAGTTAAGACATGTATGGTTTTAAGTTAACATCTGAATGTTTGAATCCTGTCAAAATTCATATGTTAAAACCTTATCATCCCGGGTGGGTGTATTTGAAGGTGGGACCTTTAAGGTAATTAAGGTTAAATAAAGTCATAAATATGGGTCCCCACTGTAGTAAAGTGTCCTTATAAGAAGAGACATCACAAAGCTCTCTCTTCCTACATGATGCAAGGAGAAAGGGCCATGTCAGCCTTTAAAGAGAAGACCAGGTCAGACACATACTTGATCATACGTAACCTTGGTTTTAAACTCCCAGCCTTTAGAATTATGAGAAAATACATTTCTTTTTAAGCCACTCAGTCTGTGTTTTGTTATGGCAGCATGAGCTGAGTAATGTAGTGTTAATTATAAGGAGCCTATAATTGTTTCATCTCAATATAACTTGTTTTAGTTATCTATTGGCTGCATGACAAACTATACCAAAACTTAGCAGTCTAAAACAAGGACAGTGCACCCTTTGATAACTCAGATGGTAGAGTGGAGGACTATAAAACAAGGACAGTTGTTCTGTACAAGACTCATATGGTGAATCATCTCTGTTCTGGGGAAGCTTGAAGACTGCTGGCTGGAGCCATCTTGAAGGTCATATACTCACATGCCTGACTGTGGATATCGGTTGTTAGGTGGGATCCTTGCTGGGGCTATGACTGGAATATCACGTGTGACTGTCTTAGTTACTTTTCTTTCATTGCTGAGACAAAATACCTGACACCTAGAATTAAGAAAGGAAAGGTTTATTTAGCTCACAGTTTGTGGAGTTTTCAGTCCATACATGACTGGTTCTAAGGCAGAGTGGCACATGGCAGAGAGCAACAGTACAGGGCTGCGGCAGACAGCAAAAGTAACAAGAGCAAAAAAGAGGGGGAGAAGCAAGCCTCTTTCCCTCCCTTACATTGTATGCAAACTACCTGCCCCAGGGCGGGTGTAGCACTCACACTCATAATCCCAACACTGGACCATGAATCAATCATAAACTCTAGAAGCCCGCCCCATGACTGCATGAGGCTTTGGGGGGAAATCCAGACACAAACCATAACAGTGACTTACCAGTGGTCACTGGCTTCCTTTGAGCAAGGTAGTGAGGTTGCAAGGGAGAGTGTCTAAAGGAAACTGTGAAGAAGGTGCTTTGCCTTGTATGACTTAGCTTTGGAAGTCACAGGGCATCAGTTACTGCCGTAGTTAAGGACAGTCCAGGACAGGAAACAGACACTCCTCCTGAGGGAGGTACAATAGACTTCTAGAACTTACCCTATTTGATTGAAATGTTAAACGCTTTGACTTGGTTACTTTTTATTTTTTTAAGACAGGGTCTCACTACACAGTCCAGGCTGGTATCAAGTACACTATGTATCCCAGATGTACCTTTGTGGCAATCCTCCTGTTTCAGCCTGCAGAATACTGGGGGTAGAAATGTGCCCCACTTGACCTTGTTGAATTCTTGAGAATGCAAGTTGGGTTGGATTCTATCTCTCCCTAGCTCTGTGAGCTTAACTTCTTTAAACTGCCATTTTCTCAGTCATAAAATAAATGTTGCAACAGTACCCATTTCATATAGGTGTTCTGAAGACTAAATAAAATATTTACAGTTAAAATCTTGGCATGTTGAAAGCACTCAGTACAGTGTCACTTAGACATTATTATTTTGTTATTATAATTATTGACATGGTAGACCAGTAACAGAAATTTCTAAGTCTCATATTTAATTCAGCTCTAATGAGACATTAGAATGTAGCACCTAAGTGTCAGACAGAACATCAGTGAAGAACTAGTTGTTATAAAATTTAAATTATTTCTAAATACATCTAATTTTTTATAATAAAATTGAGTTTTTTTCCCATCTCTTTGTTATGAATAGAAAATAATTTTTCTTTTCTTTTTTGGTACCAGGAATCAAACCCAGGACCTTGCACTTGCCAGGCAGGAGCTTGGGCCACTGAGCTATATCCCCAGCTGAAAATAATTTTTCTATAACCATAAGAAATTTGGTTTAATTGTTCTAAGTGTCACTGATCCTAACCTTGAGAAATTGTAGCTTTAAGTAGCATTGCATAATGCAGCCTCTGTATTTGTCACTATTGTTTGTTGGTTAAAGAAATGATATTTGTTAGAATATTTTGTTGTTGGAATAAAATGCATCCATGCAGCTTATGATGTACAAATCAGCATTATAACAAAAAATTTGTTATCTCTAATTTCTAACTAGAAACTGACTTCACTAGAATATGTAATCAGCTTAGTTATTCTTAGAGATTTAATTAATAATATAAATGCAACACTTTCTGTGTCATTGTAAATGCAGCTTTTAGAAATAACATTGTAAGGACTCAGTATGCACAAGGCTCTGAATTCAATCTACAGCACCAAAGCAACAACAAAAATGAAAACACCACGCATTTATAAGGTGTCTTCCTTGAAAGACAAATTTGTAAAAATTCTTCAGTTCATCAGAGCTTACTCTATTTTTAGGAGTGGGGGATTTTTATTCTTATTTTTACAAAAACGTCAGTAATTGCTTGCTACTATGACCAAAACCATAACTTAAATCATTGAATACAAATTCCTTTTCCAATATACACCATTTCTGTGTGACACAAAATCCCCCAAGCCCTAAAGTTCTAAATCTGAGAAAAACTCTTTAGTCTCTGAATATGAGAGCTGCATAGAAAGTAATAACAAATTATTTGCTTTGTTGAATAGAATGCTAAAATTGACTTTGGTTAGGCTGAGATTTAAGTCTTCATGTGAGCAGAAATTCAAGTATAATACCTATTAAAAGTTATTCATTTCCTTATTTTGCTTACTATTTTCAGATATGTGCCATTGCATTTCAACAAAATTAAAAACTAACCTATAATGAGTCACTGATTCCCTGAAGTTGATAGTCCCTCCCCTAATCCTCTTGGGCCAAATCTTTTAGCCAAAATGATTCTTTAATAAGAGTAATGATTTGAAATAGGTACAATAGCTCCATAAAGTCATATGGAATAGAGCTGCCACTGTTCAACTAATGAAGATGACAAATGAATGATTTATATTTTAAGGGGTGAATGAAGGTTATTTTCTAAAAAGATTTTTTATTTTAAAAGAAAAGAACAAAACAAAATAACAAAAACAGAGATGCAAGCAAAACAACACAAAAACAATAAAAATGATACAGAATTTAAAAAAGATGATAGGAAATTAATAATGATTTTTGTGTTACATATTGTTATCTTCAAAGTGGTTGCTCAGATTACCAGATATAGGTATGCAAGACTGATCAAACAATTAAACATTAAGTGTTAATTTCAATAAACCAGTAGAAATTAGTAGTACAATTATCTTAGTTGTCTTGTGTGTGTGTGCATATATATATATATAAAATAATTTTTGCCTTCCTTCTTTTCTCCTTTCCTTCATCCCAGTTTTTCTTTCCTTTTGAGCAGTTTCCCTTTCACACTATCGATAGTACCTTTCAGATTTTATTTACT